ACTAATAATTATATATGCGCTTATATATATCTAAGCGGTATATTAGTCCTAGAATACGAGTATTACCTAGATCCTAACCTCGTCCTAGTCTTGGGGCTAGCCCTCGAACGCGGCTTTTAAAAAGAAGAGCCGGGATTATTATAAAATAGCTATTAATATATCCGTATATAAGTACGGCTTTATATACCCGAGCGGGCGGGTTTAGATCCTTAACGCTATATAAAAGTATAATAACGAGTTAAAATATACGTACTCGCTAACCTACGTCTTAACTAAAGTAATTAAAAATAAAAATACGGCCTAGTTAAGTATTTCGTTATTGCCCTAGGGATAAGTACCCTCGGTCCTTTTTCTATCGTCGTTATTATCCTAATTATTATAAAACCTATTATTATAGTTACTAGCGATACTACTCCTATTTAGCTCGGTTACTACGTTATATAGTAAGCCCTATTACTCGTTTATAAAGTAGATAGCTTAACGCTTTAGTGCCTCGTCTCGTTTAGTTTAGTACGCTTATTAATAAAAGCCTAAATACCGATACCTTACTAACTAGTACTTAGTTATAGACGCCTTTTTATTTTTAAGCCCGAACGGTATCCCGCTAGGATTAGTATTTATAATACTAGCGAGTTATTAAAGCGTTTTAGTTAGTACGTTATTTAGCTATTAGCTATACCGTTCTATTTTATAATCGAAGCTCGCCCCGAGACGTAATAAAACTAATTACTCTCGCACGGCCTCTTTGTCCCGTTCTTAGCCTTATCCTAATACCGTACTCTTAGCTTATATTTACTTAGTAGTATCGTAGATCCTAAGAAGATCGTAAGACCTAAAATACTTAACTTATTATAACTTTTTTATTTATAACGAGTCCCGGTCTATATTTTTTTTTAAGTCCCCTATCCTTAGCCGCTCGGTATCCTTAGTATTAAGTTTGGCCGTGTACTGGGCTATTATTAGCTCTATAGTATCCTTCTTACTACTATTACCTAGATCGTATCCTACCTCGGCCCTATCGTTATTAATAATTTAGTATTATGCGTACTTCTTACGTATTTACGTTTATAACCGGATTTTTATTAACTTCGGCCCGGTTACTATATATCCGGCCTCTTACTAATAGTATATAATATTATCTTTTATTATAATAAGATAGTAGTATATAGAGTAACTATACCCCCGTAAAATATTAAACTATTTAATAGCCGAACTATTATTACTAAGTAGAGCGTTAACTTTTAGATTAGCTAGATCTGAGTAATTATAATAATCCTTAATATTTCTAAGAACCTCTCTTTTTAGCTAATATTCGTAATAGAAGTACGACTTAATACTATTACTAGGCTAGATAGCTACCCTGTATTTCCGATAGATAAGTATACGATACTCCTCGTTAATCTTAATAAAACTATTTATAGCGGTTTTATAACGCTCCTTACTTTTATATACTAGATAAGTAATAGAGAGTCGCTTTTTTATTTATTATTCTTAAATTGCCTTATTAGTACCCCTTTCTTATTTATAAACCTTAGTAAATACTTATATAACCCGAACCCTAAGTTTCTAGTTAATATAAAGCGCTAGCTAATTATCGCTCCGTCCCGACTCTAACTAATATTACTTTAACGCTCGGATTATATTGTATAGTTTATATAGCCGATTTTACTTAAATCGCTTGCGAATAATACTTAGGACCTAGTATTATTAGAAATATTATCTCTCGTCTCTTAAAATTAACTGCTGGAACACTGCTCTTCTTATTTACAAATTTGCACTAGCAATGGAGCCTTGCAACGCCTCGGAGAGAACCAGATACAATCATCTCGCCATAAGATGCGCTCTTGGCGAACTGTCCAAACTTCCATCTTCCTCGATCCAGCTATGTGTCTTTACTTGACATCTGGCGTCAGGATTACTGCCTCGCGCACGGCCTGAAACGTATAAAATCATCGAAATGGATCATTGTTTAGCAAGAGCTCCCGGCCGAGAGTTCCGTTATCCGTCCTCTCAACGTAGGTACATATCCAGGTGTGCCTTGGCACTGTCTTCCCGTCCTTCTTCGTATTCAATACGAAAACTAAACTCGCATTCCAGCTTCAGCATCTGACACCAAGAACGAGCAATACACCTACACAAAAGCCGAGGACGCACCTATTCACAGCTTACTTCAACACAAGTAAGACGTCGCTTTCGCTTTCACTTGATACGAAAACGTGTTCTTTTTTCAGTGACATCTGCGTCTTTCTAGAGCTCCCAATGTCTACCGGGTTTGATGTAATAGTGCTGTGGAAGCCTGACGAAGTTACTAGTAAACAGAAATATATCGAATGATCAACTAGATCTCATAAACCTGAGGACGCATCGACCTTCAAATCTCACAGGACTTGAAATATTTCATGCCCTCCACTCAGATCAAGCGCAGCGTAATTCTTCATTTCGTGTTTCCGAGCGTGTCATGCTGTATTCACCTGATAGGCTGTGGCAAAATTGGTGGTGTAGCGCGGACGAGGCCTATTTCTTTTCAAGAAAATATTCATGTCAGATACAAGCATTCTTGGCAAGGACGGTGAGCTGGGTACCCGTATGAACTTCCATCCAATGATCCCTGGAAGCTGCGGCCGGCTGCGTGTCTCTAATGCCAAACTATAAAGCAGAACAAAATGCTAAATCAGGTGGACTAAAAACATTCACGGTCATCATGTTTTCTCCTGGGACGCTTCCGAAGTCTTTGCCATTATTTCGAATACAGCTCGTCTTTGGACTCTCGCCTGAAGACAACCCATGATGCTGGAATCATTCTCCAGAAACCCCCATGCCTCGGCAGGCAGTGGGAAAACGCCTGCATAAAAGGCCCGTATCTCCCACTCCATCCACGGAAATTCAACTAACACCCCCTTATTCCTATACTAGCACCGAAACCGATGGCATTAGAGTTCCTTTACCATGGCTAGGCTCAGATCCTGAAACCATCCGGCCGATATCTATCACGATCAATACTTCTCTAATCCCTTCAGAGACGGCCGCAAGTCTAACCACCTTAATAAGTAACACTAGTACTACTATAGGTAGTGTCCCTACCGAAAGTTCCTTAGAAGTTCCCCCCGGTGGCTCTATAAACTTCCCGGCGCAACAACTCTTATAACATCGACGGTTCCGAGCATCACTCCTGTACCCAGATGCACGTACGAAACATCCTAGGTACTATCACTAGCAATAAAAGGAGAGGGTTAAAGGTAAATGCTTAACTACGAGTAAGCTAAGAAGAGTACAGTCCTATATAAGATATTAAGCAACTCTGTAATATAAGTAAGCGTTAGTAAACAGCAAAATTTAATTTTAAATCGGTTCCTTTCTTAATAATAACTAGGATCGCTTAATCGCTTAGTAAATTAAGAAATAAACGCTTATTAGAATCCTTAAGCTAAGAAATACTGCGACGTAAGTAACCATAACCTCTAATTTTCAGACTTTTAATCCTATCACGTTCTTTAAATTATAGAGCAAAGAAGAGAATAAAAAGACTAGGAGAAGAGGAGAACCAAACAATCTCAAGTGTAGGACCTTAACTATCGGCTACAGTCGCAAACACGATGGACAAAGATGGTATAGGGCACGGCCTTCTACTCGCACCCGTAAAATTCGCAAAGTCGTCAATGCAACACAATTCTAATTAGGATATCCAGCTGATTTCCACACCTAATAGATTGAATCAACCTGCTTGGCACGGGATAAAGTCCTCAGCGCTGTGGAGACTGTCTCAGCTAGCATGAACTATTCAAACCACATACATATGCAGTCGCCACACCGAGTGCTACGACGGTTAGATAGAAAGACGACATGCATATGCACGATGTTGTTTAGCGGAGAATGAACCTATTGTGATCGCAACCAAGAGAGGGGAGAATTGTATGATGCTGTCAGGCCTTTGGGACCTTTTGAATAGCCCACCGCTAGCCTAAGCCGCGTCAACTAACAACGGCTAATTACCCGGAGGGACAACTGAGCGAAACAGAGGTGTTTTGCGCATTGTTTGTCCCTCTTAACCTACCAGTATGCTTCCACAATTGATATGAGGAAGGTGGCGTGTCTTCATTGAAAATCCACCCTCAACCGGGAATGACGACACAGAGTGCAGCGTCGTGCTACTTAGTTCAACTGAATATGGCGCATATGAGACATGACCAAGGGAATCCAAGCGGGTTATCCTCTCTCTTCTTAGTAAAATGCTTGAGCTACCTAGGGATAAGATGGAGCGCATATGGCGGTTTACAAAACAACAGGCAGAGCTACCTTAGACTCCACATTGACTAAAGGCACAGCTGTGTGACCATTGAGCGAGACAAATTAAATCGACAATTTTGTGACTGCAACTTCGCTGGTATTTGGAAACCGTACTGATGAGAATAGGTAATCTCGACATTGCGTTTCAGGTGCGAGGTCTGGTCAAATAGGTGCTTGATCACATGCTGAAATAGTGGCATGATTGTTTCCCTCTCCCCGAAGACTTGATGCACTTCGGAACTGCCTACTGTGGCAGACCGGTCTACATGCTATGCATGAGTCTCCGAACTTGGACACAAATGTCATCATTGCACTCCAGCGTCTCTTCTATCAAGTCTGAATTCAGTAGACCGGTCTATTGTGATGTGCCAAAGCCCAAAGACCAAGGCGTCGATGTCTCAAAAGTACTGAAATTGATACGTCATCTTTGTAGATCAGTCTGATGGTTAGCCATGATATTGGTATTGGCATGTAGTTGTTTACAGTTACGGCTCAATGAGACATCCATGCCGGCTCATGATGTAGAGCAGGACTTGGCAGAGGAGCACATTGTGGTGAGCATTGTGGTTGATCACTGTTCGAGTCTTGACTATAAGTACTGCCTTGTTTTTCCTGTTTGTCTTGACTGAAAATCAAACAGAATTGATTACACACCCACAAAGTATATTACAACAACATCTCGACAATATCTCAGTTGCCACTACGATCTCACCACAATGGCAAACAAGACTTTTGACTACGGTGACCTTAGGATCACCATGACGTCCAGTTACTCATGGGTATATGATGACAGTGGCAGCGGTGCCACACGAGATGTCTCTATCTGGACACCAAATCCTCAAGGCGAGCTCTTTCCGCTGGGTGACTACGCCGAGGGTCGTGCTCACTATAACCCCCTAAGCGGCAAACGAGCCACGCTCCTCGTAGGACAGAATCCCAACACGAGCCCATCCAAGTCTGCCGTGGCCCGCCCTATCGATTACACTCGCATCTGGTCCGACACCGGCTCAGGCGCTACGAACAATGGTGCCGTCTGGCGCCCCGTTGCCCCTGCTGGGTACGTAGCCCTAGGAGACGTCGGTAACACCAATTACGGCAAGCCAAGCCTGGATAAAATGTGGTGCGTCCGCGAGGACCTCGTTGGTTATGGTAAATTCCTGGCGACTTCGGCCTGGGACGACAGCGCCTCAGGGGCGGACGCGGACGTATCCCTCTGGGCCGTGCAGACAGACACCATCGGCGTCGACGGCGCGGCCAACATCCCCGTCATGGCCGACACGTTCCGGGCGCAGTCGAACTACAACAGACCGGGCGGTGAGGCCGCTCGGGTCCTGCTGCTCCCCATTGGGAAGCAGTTCGAAAAGTTTGATAATCCCATGCCCACCATCACCGCAAACAACCTGCCGCACCAGAAGCAGCCGTACGGAGATCAGCAGCTGCAGTGCCAGGTGACTCTCCCCTTCCACTTCTACTTCAGCCCCGAGGACCAAACAAGCTTGGACAACATCAGGAACCCGTTTCTCACCGTCAGCCGATCTATCTCTTGGTACACGGAGCGGGTGTGGTCGAATGACACGCCCACTCCGCTCAAAGAGAACGTCAAGGTCGTGTACGGCGTCAGCAGCGAGAGGACGCAGGAGATGAGCCACAGCGTCGGCGTCGATGTCTCGGCGTCGTACGGCGTTGGGCTCGCCAGCGGGTCCGTCAGCCTCAACTACCAATTCACCTACAACACGTCGACGTCGTTCACAGAGTACAGCGAGAAGACCATCACCAAGGACATCACAATCAAGGAGTATACCGCAACCGTGCTCTTTTCTAGGCATGTCTGGATCAAGTGCACGCGTCTGGACAGCCCCATTGTCCTACACCAGATGGAGGTTATCGCAAATGACGGCGAGTACTACACGAGCTGCCCCACGGCCAACAAGCCGTAAATTATTCGGCATGCGACATTGGCTGAATCATGTATACGAAGAGGTAATCTGGTCATTCAACAACTGGAGAGGGTTCTTTCCAAGCCTTTTCAACAAAGATTTAAAACGTAGTTCAATATCTTCTATAAGAACTTCTGTGTCACATTGCTCACGTAGCCTTTGGAAGCGCTGGGCTAGGGTAGTGTCAGGAAGTCGTCACAGACGACAATTTGACCATCCAACAAATTCCAATTTCACTGTCCGACTGGTAACATGGAAAAAGCTCCCCGTGTGGACGATCGGGCCTGAGACTCGGCCTTAAATCCGAGAGCTGGTACCTCTTTTAGCGTGGCAACGTAGAAAGCCTACAGGCAAATGGAATATCTCGGCTCCATAGGAACAGCATAGGAAGGCTATAGAGGGTTCAAGCAAAGTCAATTTATCCAGTTCTGATTGTGAAAGTAGGAAGCGGCAGCCTTAAGGCGAGGTATATAGGAATGCCCTGGCTTGATGAAAGCACTGTAGGGCTGCTTAGACCATGGTGTATCATTGAGAATTGATAGAGACTGTCGGTGCATCTGGCATACCCAGAATCTATTGGGATCTGGTAGCGGCCTTGACTCTTCACCGCTCTGCATTATTTCGGATAAGTGGCCGCGGTCTGCCGGACCATACAACGGCCAAGAAATCTGGCTTACTATGTTTCCTCTGTACCCTTATGCTGTATTTAGCTTAAACTCTGCAAATCTATCACGACAGATCTATTGTTCAATCTTGTCTCGTCCTCCCAAATAGAGCCCACGAAGCGTGCTGGTAGCGATGGGCTCATACCTGTTCCAAGGACTCCGCGCTTTAATAAAGACCAACTAATAAGGCGCTACCGCCTCTGGAATTAGGCGGAATTCCTAATAACTGCTCTCTATCTTACTACGTTAACTAACAGTCAATTCAGAGCGCATCTAGCTCTCAGTTCTGGGCGAACTGTAACGGATCTACTCCGAAGTAATACACATCTCTAAGCTTGAAGTTGCCTTAAATATAACCCATCCAAGATAATATGCGGCCTCGAGACGCCAGCTGTGTTGCGGCTGAGCATCTCGGGCTTAATAGAAACGGGAGCGTTATTTAGTGTGACGTTGCAAGGAGAGTTTGAAGCGTCTTTTCTATAAAGAACATTCTAATAATTCGTGCATCTCTCTCTAGGGTTCCTTTTATGTTCTGTCTCGCTCTCTGACGTGGACATTGCCGAGGTCGTCATGAGCGCTCTCCTTAGTTACTTCTTCTTGGCGGACAAAACGAAGACCTTATACTCTCCCTTAATATTTTATAATTTAGCCAAGGCATACAAGTGGGCAATGGCTAATTCGGTTGTTCCTTTTTAGGAACAACGCAGATAAAATCATCGAGCACTTCAAATAAGTGTAAAGTAAGCATCATTAGCAGGACTGACCACCCGGTTGAAAGCTCAAACCAAAGTTCCGCCTTGTCGTGTTTAGTATGCCAGTATTAAACCCGCGGGGGCCAGTTGGACATGATAAGCCCCGGTAACCGCATGTAGACGCAACAATTTACATGCCTGGCAGGTATAGCGGGCACGTCCTAAACTTCTGTCTTGGTTCGTACTGTTTCCCATCTCATGTGCGCAGAAATCTCCTGAGCCGGGACCAATGTGTGTGAGTAGACAATGCGCCTTCTCCCACAATTTCAAGTCAAATATCACTCATGATACGGTAGACAAACTCCATGAAATGAGTTACGAGCTTGCTTCGTGACTCTTCGAGTCGACCATGTTGCTGCCGTAGGGTGGTGGCCCGTAAAACCACGCTAAAGACGGTGGAAGAAATGAGTGAAAATACTACACGGGATCCAATTTTGTTGCCATCCAGATGAACTGTCCTAACTCGTCATGGTCCAGACACCAACCTTCAAAATCATTTACCCAAGCCTCCCTGAGTAAGGCGTCTCCTGCAGGTTGGGCGTACTCCCGAAGATGCGAGACTTTTAGAGTATCTTTGAAGCTACGTTGCGATATTTGGTCAAGATACTGTCGCTGCCATTCGATGTTTGCCTTGGCTTGCCACAGGCTGCGTGTGCTCGGAAGGTGTACAGTTCTACACGTTGCGCCGCCGTGGCCGGACGAAGGACAAATTGCTATGCTGAGGAGCTCATTTAATGCGTAGCAAAAGCAGATTAGCCTACAGGTAATGAGTTGTCAATAAATAGCACACTTATTTGAATATACGTATGTGACTGACCTCCCTACACTTTCGTTACTGATCCATTTGCGCCGATTGGGAATGCTATGATGCTGCATGTAGTTGACCCCATCTCGAGACTTCATCATTGTATAAGTCATAGTCTAGAGATTCAAGAAAGCGTAAAAGTAAAGTCAGCGATAAACGTGCACGAATCCTGCAGCGCAACAGAGACATACGCCCAAGGTAACAGTGATTGATCTGCGATAGTGCTCCGGGATAGATGCGACATCTTCAACGTGGAGTATGGTGTATAACGTGACAGCTTGTACGGCGGCAATCAATGTTTCTCTATCGTAAGACTCATGCTTTAGTTTCATTTTGGTTAGTGTCTGGTAACCAATCCTGGTCTCCTAGGCTCTCTTTCATGGCAGAGATGTAACCCACCTCGTGAAAAAGTCTTTGCTGTTCCATGTAGATGGTCTTCCATGCAAAAGATCTATCTCTCAGGCTGTCGCTGGGAAACATTCGCACTATACTAGCACATGCAGCTAGCGGTTGCGGTAGACATTGATGTATTCCAGACTGCCGGCACAGTATCTCATCGCCGAAGCACGGCGAGCTGATGAAAGGAGGAAGGTTGAGATCGGAGATCAGCATTGCAGGATACTTCCGCATGCTTCCCAGCATCATTTTTGAAGTAAGCAAGGCTTCTGCAGTTTTGTGTTTACGCGGCCGAAGCAAGTGGTCGATGTCGACTAGCATACTGAGCTCAAAATTTGCCCTTATTGAGATTTGTGTGTTGATGTCGGCAATTATGTTGGTAACAATGTCAGGACTCATATCGGCGATTGGAGCCGTGGGCGGCAGCTTTGCGCAGTTGTCCAGAGCGTCATCAGGCCAAAACGCATCATCGGTAGTGTTTGCGGAGACAGCAGCCCATCCAAAGTCTCCAATATCATCAATAGTATCGGTTGGATCGAATCCGCTAGCTGATCGACGATCATTGAGCTCCCTTGTGCTGGTCGTAATCGCCGTCTCAATGCTTGAATTATCTAGCGGCGATAATTCAGAACTAGGTCCCGTAGTACATAACTGCGGACTCCGAAGCTGCCGATATCGATTTTCTAGGTAGGGAGTTGGCTTCGACAAAAGAGAGTAGCAGCATAGCCAATTCCGCTGCTCACACCGGGAGCAACGGGGCTGTCTTCGGTCACAGGCTAACTTAGACGACCGGCATTGGTGGCAAGACTTTCGACGGAAGTTGGGCATTTTTACGCTGCGCCTGGCGGTACCTCGAACCGTTTGGCTTCAGGGTGACGAGCCTGGCTAGCCGAAAAAATCTACTACGGACCTGGAAGAGCATCGGCAATCTTGTAGGGATCGTCACGTGTGCAACCCCGTAATTCTAAAGGTGGCTCCCCAAGCCCATCGTTTTTGCTGACTCTCTGTCATGCCAATAAAAGCAACTTCATCCCACTCCATACGTCCATTGTTACGTATGACCCCTTGAATCGTAACAAGACCAATCGTCGTAAGCGTGTTTATTGAAGTGTTCGTTCGAGGCGGGGTGTTGGAATCTTTTACGCAGATAGGCTGTGCTAGTCCGGAAATGCCGCCTCAGTTCGCCTTAACAAAACCGCTGCCACTGTCTGCCGCCCGCTTCGGCCAGACAGAACACATCATGAAACCAGGCCCAACGTACTCAACATACTCAATATACAGGTCGAGTTACTGTCCACAGCACAGGGATTCCGGGATATCAAAAGTGGAACACATCCCTCCGTCGTCCACAGTCGTCGGCCGGTGGGTTCAATCTCGGCGTTTCGTCACGCATGATTGGTCCTGCTTGAAGCGAAAATCCGACCGCAGCAGCTTGATGCACAGACTCGCGGCTTTTCAAGGAGCTTTATGCTTGTTCGGCTGCGCGAAAAGCCAAATCTTCTTGCGTTTACGTAGATACTAATGACTTGTGATAGGGCGAAGGCACCGCTGCGAATGGATTTAATGGAGCTCATCAACGTTTCACCCGCAATGGCATCAGCTCCGAGCTTCCGTGGGAGAGGCCACTAAAGTCCGCATAGATCATTATAAGAGAAGCACGAAGTGATGGCATGACGGGAGATTTGGTCTGCATCCAAATCATCATACATTCAAAAAAAAGAAACTTGACATCCTTTCAACAGTAATCTAGTGTTATTCACATCGCCTTCGCCCTCTTCACGATGACTACTATCGACTCAATCGCTGCCAAGTACAAAACTGAGCGAGACAAGAGATTCATCGCTATCTCTGACAACCATGGAGACCGCCTCACCTTCAGAACCAGTTCTTTGATGAACGATTTTAGTCATGACCCTTGGGTCGACTACGATGCCCTTGCCAAGGAAAGTCCGCGTTTGACTGATGGCTCCGAGGTCCGTTTCCTAGTCCTCGGTGCCGGCCATAACGGCATACTTTTTGCCTACCAGTTGGTCGCGGCTGGAGTCAATCCGGCCGACATTGTCATTGTAGACGAGGCTGGCGGCTTTGGTGGCACCTGGTACTGGAATCGTTATCCTGGCCTGACCTGCGATGTTGAGGGCTACTGCTACTTGCCACTCCTTGAGGAGACAGGATTCATTCCGAAGCATCGCTACTCCAAGGGTCAAGAGATCCGTCAGAACGTTGAGCTGATTGCGGAAAAGTATGGAATCAAGGGTATGTTCTGCACCAAGGCAAAGGGCGCCAAATGGGACGACGTCCAGAAGCGATGGGTTGTCACAATGAGCCGTAACCTGAGCCAAAGATATCAGCATCTCAATGGCGATTTTGTCGTCCAGACACAGTTTCTCATGCCCGCTGGCGGCCTCTTCTACTCGCCCAGCGCACCTGATGCTCCTGGTCTCGGCGTATTCCTGAAAACCCGGGAAATTTTCCACACGGCTCGTTGGAACTACGAATATACTGGCGGTTCTCAGATCCAACCTGACTTGGTCAACCTCAGTAACAAGAGAGTGGGTATCATTGGCACCGGCGCAACGGCTGTTCAGGCTGTTCCCGAGCTGGCCAAATGGTCGAAGCAACTCTATGTGTTTCAGCGCACGCCCTCATACTGCGGACCAAGAAAGCAAGTCGAGACAACCCCGGAGAGCTGGGACATTGTAGCTGGCCGGCCAGGCTGGCAGGCTGATCGCATGAGAAACTTGAACAAGTTTCTCAACGACCACCCAGAGGTAACTCCTGCCGATGACCTCCTTAAAGACGGATGGAGTAATGCACGCACGTTCTCTGGACTCATTGGAAGCCCCCGGGCGAAAGATATCACCCCCGAAAGCGTTCCTCAGCATCTCCAGCGGATGTTGGAACTCGACGCGGGAATTTCAACTGAGCTCCGCAAGCACGTCGAGCGCGAGGTGGACGACCCGGAACTAGCTGAAAAGCTGAAGGCCTGGTACCCTGGCTGGTGCAAGCGTCCGACATTCCACCAAGACTACCTCAAGTCTTTCAACCGCCCCAATGTCACGCTCGTTGATACCGATGGTCAGGGAATCTCAGGCTATACTGACAAAGGTATCTTGGTCGGCAAGGGCGACCTGACCAAGGAGTATGAGGTCGACGTTCTCGTACTTGCGACAGGTTTTGCAACGACGACTGCCGTCAATGGAGACCCAGCACAAGTCCTTAACATGCCAATCCGGGGCCGCAACGGCCGCGATCTGACGGAGAAATGGCAAAGCGACGATTTCGCCACCTTTATGGGCGTGGCTACTCACGACTTTCCCAACCTACTCTTCTTTACCGCCAAGGGTGCCACTTCCTCAGCAAACACAACCTACCCCTACACAGTCGGAGGCAGATTAGTCGCTCACATTGCCAAGACTGCCTGCGATCATGCTTCTGATATCAACAGGGTTGAAGTTGAGGTAAGCAAGGAGGCGGAGCAAAGTTACACGGAGAGCTTGAAGCCTTACGCTCCGTGGTATGCCCCTGTGGCATCCTGCACCCCGACATACTTTACAGATTACAAGGATCCCAAGAAAGAGCAGAAGACAAAGGAGCCATCTGTAGGCTTTAGTATGGGGGCTGTGGCTTTCGAACAACTTGTGGACAAGTGGGCGGATGGCAGCTTGGAAGGGTTTGTGGTGCAAGGCTGAGAGTGAACCGTATTTTGCTAAAAGCCCAAGATCGATATATCTTATCACTCCTGTCCCAGTTATATACAAAGAAGCTGGTCTATCGTGAAGAATAAGAAATTAGAACGGAGAATCAAGCGATCTAGGTACTCAAAGAAGTGGAGAGCTAGATGGACGCACTGCTCTAAGGAACTTTCATCAAAAAAGAGGTAGTATATTTGTAATGCAAACAGATAATAAGGCCAATTACTAGCGGTGATGATGTTGCAAGTCTTAATTAGAAAGTTTTCAAGAACAATTGAAGTCTAGCATTCTTCAAGCGGTAGGATATTAAGGGGAGTAAGTTAAAAACCACTCAGATTCTAACTTCTTTTCAACTTGACTTTGGTGTATCCAAGCGTGCTATGATTACCTTACTGTGGTCCAACTAAAAGTCTTTTGCCATCTACCGGTACCCTCGCTACTATAGAACTCTCTAATTGATCACATCTCATCTGCACAGACTTTGAACGGTCCAATTGAATGACAATTTTGAGATACAACGTTTGATAGAGTAAGGTACATTAGCACCGTAAGTACTAGCATAACAGCATCATGCTTAATCCTCAAGACAACACTTCATACCGTTCTAGTATCACACCTCTTGATCGCTTCAGTGTACACATAAAACAACTGATCGTGTTCTAAGGCACTCGTCGTTGCTGAGACAACGCGTGACGTTAGGGGCTTTATAAAAGCACTTGCCTAGCTTGGAATGAGAACAGTAAACGATTATCGAAGGTATTAAGAAAGAAAGTGACTCACAGAGATTGTTATAATATTTGCCACCGTGAGCGCGGTGTATGTAGGGGAAGCACAATTGGGGTCTTTAATAAGGTACGGAGTAGTCAAAACAATCTTCCTGGCTGTGAGATCTTCTCTAGGATAGGTCGAAATATCCATTCTTCCGCGTCGATCGTAACACGCAAAGAAAGCTCATCCATGAGCTTGATCTTGCAGTGCGCTTAAGCAACTGTCCATTTGTTGGGACATGCTTCGAGTCTGGAGCGATAATCCAATCGCGCGGGGCGCAGCGACGCAAGACATTGAAGCACCCAATGAACTTCCAGCTTTGCTGAAACACCAGGTCAGACCAACATTGTGAATGTTCGGATGAAACAGTCCTCCAAGCGCGTCAACTATCAATACTAGTGCAATGGGTGGTAATCCAAAACAATACTTGTCACAGGCGAGTTTGCGCACAGCCCTCGCCAGAAGAAGCCAGCAGGAAACTAGCGCACGGATAGTTCAACCAGCTGAATAAAGATAGAGAGTTTTCCTTGCAGGTAAGCCGGCGGTAAATGTTGAAGCTCCATCCGACCACCAAGCTATCTGCATGCAATATCACACACAGAATGTCTTCAACCCCCGAATATCAGCCTTTTCTCAAATACTCGGACGACCCGACGACGGAAGAGCCTACATCACCAAGTCGGCCATCAACCCGTCGGAATGCGCTTTTCTCTCACATACTTGTACTCATAGGCACCTCGCTAGTATGGGTACTGATTTTCTTTCTGTTCTTTCCGACACCAGCTGCGACGACCGCGTCCCATGACGCTGCACTTTCCCAACCATCAGCTTCGTATAACTCTGGCCAGCGACACAACATAACCACTGGCAGAAAAAGAATCTCTTGCGGCAACACGACAAAAGAGGCAAGGGCCAAAGGCTGTAAATACGATGTCCTGTTGAATCACTGGGTCCCGGCTCAGTGCTTTGACAAGGACTCGGTCGACGAATATCAAGAAGATGCTAGCTGGGGTGCGTTCGCGGATAAGAACATGACGCAGCAGTTGACCATCGATGAGATGTCAGAAAGAGACTTTTACTGGACGTCAATTCGGGATCATATCAACCACTGCGCTATCATGTGGCGGCGCCAATTCTACGCCCTTTACGACGAGCGGGCTGCAATTGACACCATTGTCACTAGCCCTGGGCACACTGAACACTGCTCACAGTATCTCATGGATGCCGTGGATTCGAAATGGAAGGAACCAACGAAGACAATGAGAGGGTTCGCGGGTTGCTGGGTACGCGAAACATAGTTCTTAATGCGATGTATAAATCAAATTCCAACTTCAAGCAGGCGAGGGTCACCGCGTGGGTGTAGAGGTTGAACGATGAAATGAATAATTATGCTACTTATGTCTGGTTTCCCTTGGTTTAGCAAATTTACAACATGCATTAGGGTTCAGCCTCATTGTCTCTAACGAGCCCCCGAAATTCGGTTGAACCTAACGTGCGGGACATGTTTGCAGACTTGGGTAGTTGTTATGAGTATACTTCATAATCGAAATCATGTCTTGGGGCTGTTTTGTTATGGGTGGTGTTGAATTGAAATTGCATGCAGGCAACTCGTAGCGAGACAAAAAATACCCGCCAGGACTCAGAACCAATCCGCTATCAAGTGGTCTTGGGAGTCTTACAAGTTGCCTGGTGGATAGTTCGTAAGACTTGTAAGACTTTCTAGTCTTGAAATATGTTCTGCCCACTACGGTGGCCTGGTGTAGACATGATTCACTGGTTCTGCCTCAGCGTCCAGACTCTCATGCGAGTGCTGTATTATTGTTGCTGACCAAAGTCCAAGAACTTCTATTACCGTCAATCATTTCCGTTCCATCAGCTCCTGCTCTGTTTTCCGACAAGGCTGTAAAGCATGGCCCAGGCAGCATCGACACTCTCTGGGATATCCACATGGACTACAAAATCTTTCCCCTTTGGCCCATAGCCTTCTTCGTCATCCCTGAGGCGAGGAATCTCCCCCATAATTAAATCAACAAATCGGCGTATGCTCCACATGCCACCTGACGTCTTATGGGCGCACCCCTCGTCATCAAATACAAGTTGAGCCATGACATCCTTGTCAACAAGGCCCTTCGAGTTGTCGATGAATTTTACTTTGGGGGTGAATGTGGGCCAGCTCTTTATCTGGGGTAGCACATCACTTTCTCCATCGTATGCCCTTTGGAAGGTGGCCACCGTTCGCCTTGACATCGTCGGGTCTTGCACTATGACAATGGACCTCGGACAGTAGACTCCACAGGCCTCGAGGACTCGTTTTGACTCGGCTGCATTCCCTCCACAATTTGTAGAGCGGTCTTCGACTACAACCAAAAATTTGTTCGTATCATTTGGCTGAATTGTTGCTTCCACAGTTCCGACGTCATGGGTCTGGACTCCGTACCAGCGCTCAGCTATGAGCTGCAGTACACGCGATTCAGCCTTTCCTTGCACTTCATCGGCAAGCACGCCGTAGACCGGATGGTTGCTGATCGCTTCATAGAGAAATGGCGTCGAGTGACCGATGCCACCACACAAGACCAGAACTGTGTTTCTTCCCTCTCTAAACACGGGTGTCAGCACTTGTTCAAGACGATGTACTTAATCGCACAGGATCGTGGCATCTGTATACTTGGAAATTTGTTCTTTTGACCTCAAACCGTTCGTAGTCACAGCTGAGAAAACCACATCCGCAAGTGACAAAACCGAAGAGGCACAAAAGACAATAACATCGGTTGCTTGGTGCTCTTCTACTTTGCTCGGGGCAGCAGGGTCCGGGAGAGAACGGAAGAACTGGTTGAGACCGTTCACATCTCTGATCTCCTCATTTGAGAGAAAAGAGGAAAGGATATTGATTGAGTGAGCAGCGTTGGCCATTGAAGCGAATTGGCTGGCATTGAGCATGATGATAGGAAGAGAGGGATGTGCGTCGAAGATATTATCTTAGGTAATGAGGGGGTGAGACATTATCAGCTGCTTACGTAAAGTGAATTTCCATCCAGCTTCGGATGCTGGCAAAACCAGGTGTCTTCATACATTATGCTCATCAACGAACTTCATAATCAGTTTGCTCATACCTTGCTTTACCATTGCATACCCGGAAATCGTCCACTAGCCTTGATGTTGTGAGCGGCAGTCCGCAAACCTTCTGGGGGCAATCAAAACTAAAACACCTCCCCAAGCTAAGATCATTTGCCTACATCTTCGTTTGACAATCAACATGGAGGTATTGTAGACGACAACAAAATAATGACGCCATTAATTCCTCTTGCAGCGTCTTACAGTTGTGCAATATTGCACGATTGAACACATATCACGCCGGTTGATAGGGGTGGGCCGCTTTCTTATAGTACACAGAGCATACTGCCTCATGCTGCTACATGAGCCTGATCGGCGGAATTTGACAGAATTGGCTGCGGAGTTGATCTGACGAACCTGATTTCGGAGCCCAGCAACTCCGCAGGCCGTTGACCATCTGTGGATCTTTCTACGCTAGGTACATACAACTTCGCTAATCACTTCAACGTGCAAGCAGCTTTTTCTTGCCTAGGAGCTCCTTTTAAAGTACGACACAAACGTTTCACCGCGTGGAGGCAGTCGAACTTACGTGAAGTTGTAGATAAATAATTATAAAACAGGTACGGAGTAATGGTAAGGCCAGAACATGCTTCTCTGTGGCATCAACAACTCCACTCCACGAGTGCTTTCACCTAACTTAAAAACGACAAAATTCTTGTTCAAATCAATCGAGACTAACAATCTACCTACATCATCCTCTTGTTCCGTCAAGTTCTTGAATCTAACGCTCACTCCAAAATTGGCACCATAGTCTTTATCAACCTTCTCCGCCATGGCCTCCCCTACGTCGACCCAAAATCGTGCAGTCTTTCTCCAGAGCGTGGAAGGCATGAAAACCCTTAGGGCAGAAATGCAAATTCGCTCAATCCCTGAAGCGACACCCGGAAGTGTCGTTATCCGCGTTCTGGCTGCGACTGTAAGAGCCAACTCGCCTAGAATCTATCGGGACCCGCAAAGCGGATATCCGCTGCCTTTCCCCCTCGTCCCAGGACATACCGCTATCGGAAGGGTGTTTAAGATCTCTTCGGATGTCACCATTCTGAAAGAAGGCCAGCTTGTCTTCTTTGATCCCTACATTCAGGCACGCGATGGGGGTGGGTTTTATGTCTCAGCCATGA